ATCTTGTTTAACTAGTTGAATATGATATGAGTTGCTAGGGCCAATATCTTGAAGTGGTGAAGGAGGTTGTAAGACAGATGTGATGTTTACTGAGTAGAACGCAAGTTCATTTTCAGATGGGGAGGTTGCTAGTTCTTCTATAATGTTGCACAGAAGATGCTTGGAGTTGGGTGAGATTTTATTAATTGTTCAGAGTGAGGAAGCGTTGGTATCTATATATAAATCAATATTCAATTGGCCATCCATTATTTCTAATAATTGTTTCTATTCTTCAGGGCATACTTTCTATATAATTTATTAATTGATTTTTTAAAAATTTACTCTATTTTTCTTATAATGCAATTTTTAATTTTTTAAGATTTTTTATATTTTCTAATCTATTTCTTATTTTTCTTTTCAATTCAGAATACAAATGTTCAATTGGATTTAAATCAGAAAATTGACTTGGCTAATCAGATAAAATACTAATTTTATTTTCTAAAATCTATTGTTAAATATCTTTAGCAGTATGAATTAAAGCATTATCATTTTGAAACAAATGTTTCTTATAATTAAAATTATTATTAATTAAAGGTAATAAATGCTTTTCAAGTATTTTAATATAATTTAATCTATTTAATTTACTACTTACTTTTACTAATGGATCTAATCCTTTATCTGAAAAACATCTTCATACCATTATTCCTTTACCTCCAAATTTTACTATTGGAATCATATTTTCAATATTATATAGTATATTGTATCAGGAGTTCTACAAACACAATCAGGATTATCATTTTTGAATATTATAAATCTATTTTCATTACTCTATATAATAGTCTTCCATTTTTGAATAGTTCAATCTTTTCTTTCAATATATCATTTTAGATGATTTTCTTTTTATTGATTATTTAAAAGTATTTTTTGAACTGATATATAAGAAAAAATATTTATTTTATACAAATTTCTTCTAATTGTCTTAGTAGAAACTTCAATATTGGTTTTTTTAATAAATTTTTTTTCTAATTTGTTCTGTAGATTTCTTGTTATTTTTCAATAATTTTTTAAAAATAGTTTTGTCTTTAAAAGTCAATAGTTTTGAATGTTCAATTTTAGAAAGAGTAGCAAAATTGTTTCTATTAAATAATTTTTAATTGTACGAGAAACAGTTGTTCTATGAATTTTAAAAAGTTTTGAAATTTTTAATAAGAATTGTTTATCTTTATAAAGATCTATAATTTTATTATGTTGACTTTCAGTTAAATAATACATTTTTGAAATTAAAAATATTGGAAAGGTAGATATATTTATATTTAATTTAATGTTTATCTATTGAAAAAACATAAAAATTATAAACATGTTTTTTTGAAATATAAACAATAATATACTAAAATTTTAAATAAAGTTATTATATATATTTTTATATAATAATAAATTTAAGATATGTCCCAACCCCCGTCAACCGGATCCTTTCAGTGGAACAATCCCCTATCACACTTTTCAGAAAATCCACTAATCAATAACACATGCCTCGGCAGTAGT